GTGCCCATAGAGAAGAAGAGCGAGAAGCGTCGTGAAAAGAGACCAAAGGGGATTGAAGGAGTGTTCTGTAATGGGTAAAATAGTTAACGTCAGGCTTCGGGAACAACTCGCCGTTCACAACGGGCAATGACTCGGCGCTCACTCGCGCGGCGGGCCCCTATTCACTTGCGCGTTCCTGCCGTCCTCAGGTCGCGGGGTGCTCCGTCGTCGACGAGGTGCTGCCTACGTCCCGCTGTTCTGGTCGAGCCGCCGTCCGCCGTTCGCATACATAAAGAAGTTACCATCCATAGTGAACGCGTTTCTGAGCCCAAAGAGAGGAAGAAGGGAATGAGAACGAGCCGGAGAGTGAAGGAAGACGAGGGGGGAGAAGTGCAAGAGATGTCAGACGCGGCACAACCCGGGTACCGTTCCATTCCGACGGTTGGACTTCGTGACGCCGTACTGGCCGTGAGATTGATCGCCGTTGCGCCGCTTAGTCGCAGCGCGAGGACTGGTCTGCGGGAGCTCGAAAGGAATAGACGTGCGCAGGGTAAGCGTACAAATGGATGAAAAAGGTGCTTTGCGCGGCGCTCTAAGTATCCCTTCTACAGCGTGCTGGGGGCATTGCCGGATCTGCAGTCGGTGGGTCGCACTCGAGATCGATGACGGGTCCGCGCATGGAACGGCAAGGTCAGGACTATCTGGAGAAGGCGTCTGCCGAGGCGAAGAAGGACCAATGCGTTTTGTTGAGACGCTACAAAATACGAAAAAGGCTGGTGGTTCTGAGAAAGGTTGTTGGAGGCGCAGGCTACGACCAACTGCCGAGCCCAGACGATGAACATGGTGCTTCGGGAGTAGGAGTCGCAGCGTGGGAAGACGAGGATGAGGGCATAGCAGACATCCTGATGCCCGGGAGCGAGGTATATTTTTCATTATCGTGTGTCACGGAGTGTACAAGCTGACAAGACGTCAGGGCCAAATTGCTGATTCGCTGGACATCCTTCTCGATTACATACTGGAGGTAAGTCTACAAAATGGCATCGGTATCTCTATCCGTCGCATTAAGTGTAATCGTGTTACAACAGGTCACCAACGTCGAGATCGCCATTGCAAGCGACGATGACGTTGAGAGTATCATCGTAAGTGTTGTTTGAAATGCCCTGCAAGAGCGTAAACTTACTTCCACTCAGGGTAGCAACCGTGTAGTTGACTTTGCAAGCTATCTTCGTCGAGTGCAGCCGCCGGTGGAGATCGACAGCACAAGTGAGTTCTTCATCCTCCAGTAGTATCTGCTCTAACTGATGCGCGTAGTCGGATCACTCTGCATGGAAGACGTAATTTGCCATGAGAGAGAGAGCGCCATTGCGCGCCGCATCACCGCCCCCGACTTAGCGAAATGGCCGAATAGCTCCCTCGATGGTGCTGGCCGCCTAGTGGATTGGCACGTCTCTGTGGGCCCAGATGCTGGAAGGCTGAAGTTAAAACAGCTTGTCTTCGCTCGTCGAAGTCATCTCTCCAAGTGCGAATGCTATGCGCTGTCGACTGACGGAAAGCTTCTCGCAGCATCATTCGACTCCAGTGCCAGTGATATCTTTGTATGGCGGCTCCCCGATGGTCTGCTGGTTCAATGCCTCCGTAATGAGCACCATGGAAATGCTGTTGTATCCTTGTCATTTTCCCCCAACGGCCCCGCTATCGTCTTACTAGGGTCTTACTTCGACGAGACCTCGATCGTCTGGGATGTTCAACATGGCTGTGTACTCCGACATCTCATCGGACGTCATTCGCGGGTGTTAAACTCTACGTACTCCCCCAACGGCGCACTCATTGCCACAGCTGACACGGCAGGATCTGTGAAGATTTGGGACACCTCAACCGGCGCATGTCTGTATACCCCCGATCTCGATGAGCACGTGTACCAGGTCACCTTCTCGCCAGATAGCTCGCGTCTATGCCTTCCTGCAAGGTTCTCCTGTTTCCTTTACGACATGCAGTCCTATAAGCATATCGCTACATTGCGCCACAGTGGGCATGACCCAGCCGGCTTCTCAATGTCCCGCCAAGGGGATCGCATAGTCACCGGAGCTATATACCTCAGGAATAGCGTGACGGTTTGGGACGCGGTAACCGGCCAAAAGCTTCTTACAATCGACGACGAGAGAAAGCCGACAAGCCCTGTAGCATTCTCCCCAGACGGTGCCGAGGTGCTGGCGGTTTGCCAGGGGGACCAAATGGCCCTCGCTTTCGACTCGCGGACGGGCCAGCCACGCCACACCTTCGAGCTGTCATACGTGCCCCATCGTGTTGCATACTCTCCGAACGGAGATTACGTTGTTTTTGCAGATGATCGCGGTAGTCTCGAGGTGTATAACGCGAAGTCTCGGACGTTCG